GAAATCGCCAGGTAGTCTATTGTTCTGGCAACGGTGTGCCGTAGCAGATTGCTAAACTGTATTTTATATGGTTAATATTAATGTACTCTGCTTTTTCCAGGCAAAACTGGAGAAAATGTATTAGACATTCATCCATGTTTCTCAAACATCAAATTTCGAAGTTGTTGCAAAAATCAAATTTCGAAGTGTTTAAGGTTAAGTTAAGGCATTAACTCTGAATTGTTAAGGTTAGGGTTAAGTTTAGGTATTAACTCTGAAATCCTAAGGTTAGGAATTGACTCAGAATGGCTAAGGTAAGGGTTAAGGTTTGGGATAGGCTTAAAACCAAAATGTCAACAACTACTTTCTGTTGCTGGATTCTAACTTCCAACCTTTGGAATCAGAGGCATCAACTCCTTAAGCATCTGCCTCTGATTCCAAAGGTTGCAAGTTTGAATCCAGCAATAGAAAGATATTTTAGACATTTTTCTTTTAAGTCTATCCCAAACGTTAACCCTAACCTTAACCACTGTAAGCACCTGCCAGCTTGCAAGTTCGAATCCAGCAATACTTGATTCAAACTTGCAACCTTTGGAATCAGAGGCATTAACTTCAAAATCTTAAGGTTAGGAATGAACTCTGAATGGTTAAGGTAGCGGTTCCCAAACTAGGGGTCGCGACCCCATAAGGTGTTGCCTGATAGGGAAATGGGGTTGCTGGAGAATTTGAACACGCATTAGAGACATTATGTCAGACTAATTTGCAATTGACTGTCATAGCCCCACATTAAAAGTACTGTATGTTATCGTAAGTTGAGAAGACAATTAGAAATACTGTCAGAATGTTTTGCAATTGACTGCTATAGCCCCAAATAAAAAAGTAAACATTGGCTGATAATCACTTTTTATTTTTCACATATTTGGGGTCGCAAGAATTTTCAGATATCAAAATGGGGTCGTGGATGAAAAGCGTTTGGGAACGCCTGGGTTAAGGTAAGGGTTAAGGTTTGGGAGAGGCTTCAATCAAAAGTTTAAAAAACTGCATTTTATTGATGGATTTGAACTTGCAACCATTGGAATCAGAGGCAGGTGCTTATGGTGGTTACGATAAGGGTTAAGGTTTGGGATAGGCTTAAAACAAAAATCTCAAATACAACTTTCTAGCGCTGGATTCAAACGTGAAACCTTTGGAATCAGAGGCACAAACAAACAAAATAAAAATGGTCAAAAACAACTTTCTATTGCTGGATTCAAACTTGCAACCTTTGGGATCAGAGGCACAAACAAACAAAAACAACTTTCTATCGCTGGATTCAAACTTACAACCTTTGGAATCAGAGGCAGAGGGTTAAGGTTTGGGATAGGGTTTAGGTTTAGGATAGGCTTAAAACAAAAATACCAAAAAATTAATTATATTGCTGGATTCGAACTTGCAACCTTTGGAATCAGAAGCACAAAAACAAAAACAATTGTCTAAAACTACTTTCTATCGCTGGATTCAAACTTGCTACCTTCGGAATCTGAGGCACAAACAAACATAATTGTTTTGTTGTTGTCAAAAACAACCTTTTATCGCTGGATTCAAACTTGCTACCTTTGGCCCTTTGAAATCAGAGGCAGATGTTTCACACTCTCGATCCCCCAAAACCTTCATGCGACACCTGACTCAGGACCTCCAGTTTGAGAACCACTGGCCTACATTTAAAAAAACATTTTAATTTTTTTCATACTGGCCCCCCATGGGAATCAAACCCACAACCCTGGCGTTGCAAGTGCCATGCTCTACCAACTGAGCTACATGGGGCAACATGATACGGGCCCAACATGTTGCAGCAGATAATGCTAAACACACAGCACCACATTGCTTTATCATGTTGTATGTTACATGAGGTATTGGAGGGAGGGGTCTCCATTTTAAAATAGGGGCTCTGATAAGCATGGTTGAGCGGATTATGTAAAATATCACACGAGTGCACTTTATTTGGACATACAATATGTGGACACAAGTTGCAGAGGAAAGATAATGTTTGTTGAAAACTGTTTGTCGACTAATTGTTTTCTAAATGTAGTTTAATGAACTTGGGTCATACCTGTTAGTGTGTGACTTCAGTTTGTGTTTGGTAGTTTGCAACTTAAATGGATAGCTCAACCAAATTACAAATTCACATTTTGTTTCCTTACCTTGTAAGCAGTCTACAGACAAGGACAGAGTGCAATTCACTCTTTGTGGTTGTTTATCTAGCCACTGCTACCATCCGCTAACTTTGGCATTTTCCAAACTAGCATGTAAGTCAAACAAGATTGCAATTTTGTAATTTGGGTGGACTATCCCTTTAATTATATCCTGTCTCTCATTTGTTTGATTATCTTGAATGGGGCATGTGCTACCAAACAGTGGTCACACCCACTGATGCTGGTGTCTCTCTCCACACTATAGTCAAGGTGCTAGTTTCTGCATAGATTATTTTGGGCTAGTTCAACTTGTGCTTTTACAATCTACAGTAGTAATGTTGACCACCATGCGCTGGCTACTGTTTGGATGTTGTGGGCTCGCCTTTGTGAACCTCTCAGGTAAGAGACTATTACACTGACTTATTTGAGAGTGATTCCTAGCATGTGTGCTGACAAATGAGACATAAAATACTAGAGTCATCACTTTACATAAAGCATTACATTTAAACAGCTCTTGAAGTTACCTTTTTATCGATATTTACCAATATTTTTTACATTGGACATATATAAACGTTTGTTTTGCATGTTTTTTTGTTGTTGTTGCATTGGACCACAACTCCAGCATTGTGTTTCCTGCCCATCTGTTTAAAAGAGGAAGTCAAACTAACCTCACAACATATCAGTCATAAACATTTAGTTATGATCCATGTACAATTTGTTACATACAAGATATAATATGCCATTTAGCAGACGCTTTTATCCAAAGCGACATACAGTCATGCGTGCATACATTTTTACGTATGGGTGGTCCCGGGGATCGAACCCACTACCCTGGCGTTACAAGCGCCATGCTCTACCAATTGAGCTACAGACGACCACGATAGTTTAATCCATTCCATTGTATTATTGGTATTAGCCATTATTTTATTAATTTTTTTACATTTACTTCGTAAATTTGTGTCGTGGTAAAATAAGCAGAATATCTATTAGGGTGTTACTGTAAAACAGGCATACGGTCATTTGAAATAGCTTGAGTAGGTTTATACATTATTCATATACTGATGTCTAACGTGCTTACACATTTATATATTATATAATTAATCATACAGTGCCTTCGGAAAGTGTTCAGACCACTTTACTTTTTCCACATTTTGTTATGTTACAGCCTTATTCTAAAATGGATTAAATAAATAAAAATCCTCATCAACCTACACGCAATACCCAATAATGACAAAGCAAAAACAGTTTTTTAGATATTTTTACTAATTTATTAAAAATAAAAAACAGAAATGCCTTATTTACATAAATATTCAGACCCTTTGCTATGAGACTCGAAATTGAGCTCAGGTGCTTCCTGTTTCCATTGAGCATCCTTGAGATGTTTCTACAACTTGATTGGAGTCCACCTGTGGTAAATTAAATTTATTGGACATGATTTGGAAAGGCACACCTGTCTATATAAGGTCCCACAGTTGACAGTGCATGTCTGAGCAAAAACAAAGCCATGAGGTCGAAATAATTGTCCGTAGAGCTCCGAGACAGGATTGTTTCAAGGCACAGATCTGGGGAAGAGTACCAAAAAATGTCTGCAGCATTGAAGATCCCCAAGAACACAGTGGCCTCCATCATTCTTAAATGGAAGAAGTTTGCCAAACTGAGCAATCGGGGAAGCAGGGCCTTGGTCAGGGAAATGACCAAGAACCCGATGGTCACTCTGACAGAGCTCTAGAGTTCCTCTGTGGAGATGGGAGAACCTTCCAGAAGGACAACCATCTCTGCAGCACTCCACCAATCAGGCCTTTATGGTAGAGTGGCCAGACGGAAGCCACTCCTCAGTAAAATAAACATGACGGCCCGCTTGGAGTTTGCCAAAGGCACCTAAAGACTCTCAGACCATGAGAAACAAGATTATCTGGTCTAATGAAACCAAGATTAAACTCTTTGGCCTGAATGCCAAGCGTCACGTCTGGAGAAAACCTGGCACCATCCCTACGGTGAAGCATGGTGGTGGTAGCATCATGCTGTGGGGGTGTTTTTCAGCAGCAGGGACTGGGAGACTAGTCAGGATCGAGGCAAAGATGAACGGCACAAAGTACAGAGAGATCCTAGATGAAAACATGCTCCAGGTCGCTCAGGACCTCAGACTGGGGCGAAGGTTCACCTTCCAACAGGACAACGACCCTAAGCACACAGCCAAGACAACGCAGGAGTGGCTTCGGGACAAGTCTCTGAGTGGCCCAGCCAGAGCCCGGACTTGAACCTGATCTAACATCTCTGGAGAGACCTGAAAATAGCTGTGCAGCAACATTCCCCATCCAACCTGACAGAGCTTGAGAGGATCTGCAGAGAAGAATGGGAGAAACTCCCCAAATACAGGTGTGCCGAGCTTGTAGCGTCATACCCAAGAGGACTGGAGGCTGTAATTGCTGCCAAAGGTGCTTCAACAAAGTACTGAGTAAAGGGTCTGAATACTTATGTAAATGTGATATATATATTAATTTTTTTATGAATTAGCAAACATTTTTAAAAACCTGTTTTTGCTTTGTCATTATGGGGTGTTGTGTGTAGATTTATGAGGGAAAAAAACATTTTAATACATTTTAGAATAAGGCTGTAACCTAACAAAATGTGGAAAGTTAAGGGGTCTGAATACTTTCCGAAGGCACTGTATATTAAAGATCATATGAATTATATGAAAGATTAATGTTTGATTATCTATGTGACATTTGCCATTTCATCATAACAAAAATCTTACAACATTTGCTAATTCATCATGTCAATTTAACAGTAGTAGGTTTTATAAGAGTTCAACGGCTACGGTTCCATCACCTGTCTCACTGACCAAACCTTATGTCTCTCATCCCACACGTCTCTCCAGTGGCTTTAAACAGGACCCTACAGGTCATCCAGAAGCCTCGTTTCTATGGGGTGAAGACCAATAACATTGTAACCATATCCTGTGTGGGATCGGACAAAACCCAGCCTGCCACGGTTGACTGGTACAAGGCCTCAGAATACAACGTTGTCCCAGTGAAGAGGAAGATAGTCAAGATAGAGGGGGAGCGGGTCACTGTGTGGAAAGTTGGCGTGACACAAAATGCCTTGATCAGAATCAAACATATAGGGATGGAGGACAGTGGAGTGTACTTCTGTCTGATGAACAACATCACCTGGGGGCCAGGGACAGAGCTACAAGTGTACAGTACGTATAGCCCAATTCAGTCTCAGCTGGTGACGTAAAATGTTAGGAATGATTGGATGAAAATAATTTTGAATCGTTTTTGTCAATGGGATGACATCTGTTTAAGGAGATGTACTGCTTTATTAGTATGATTTAAAATATATGCATAATCCGCGTCATCGTCATCCTCATCCTCAGATTTGAAGATTGTCAAAGATTGTAAAAACTTGTAATTTACAAATGTACAAACTCATACATCTCTCTCTCTCTCTCTCTCTCTCTCTCTGTGTGTGTATGTGTGTAAAGGATCCTCTAACCCTGAAAGGGCAGAAAGGAGGAGCAAGCTGAAGGATGCTTTGATCTTTCTCCAGGCGCTACTCTTGACGTTGTTTGCTCTTGCCCCACTGCTACGCCACCAATCCCTTGTGAGTCGCATGACACAATAAACATACATAACTGAAAACCCCAGCAAAAACAAAATGATGTATTTGAATGCATTGTTGGGTGTGATTTGAATATGTTTGAATGTACCTGACACAACAAAACAAATGAAACAAGTTATTCACATTGAATACTCACCTTCTGAACTTTGACCTTTTCAAACGTTTCATTATTGTGACACAAATGTGAGATGGTACAGTGTGTGATACAGTATGTGTAAAATATATGGGCCAATTTAGATAAAACACATTGCATACATATGTACAATTTGATACTTGGTTTTTATCATGCAGAATTGTTTTCAGTTGTCTCTCATTTTCTTTCAGTTGAAGAAGGAAGATGCAATTTACGAGGAACCTGAACATGATCACATCTATGAGGTACAGTATGTTAATGATGATAACCGGGTCTTCTGTTGTTTTTGATGAAAATGGAGCTAAAACCACCTCAATTCTCTATAAGTTATCCCTACCATATTGTATGCTGTAATGTAGTGTAACAGTTTGGTTTATATTAGAAGGACAAGACATCAGGGTTTGGGTCAATTCCGTTTTAATTCATGTCTGTTTAGGGAATGTAGGCCTATTGAAAATCAGGTTGTACCTTATTTTATGATACAAAGGTAACACTGTAATAACTGAGTTTCTTTGGGATTCATTAAAACTTATACCACTCAGAGCCATTTGGTATCATTACCATTAGTAACTACCGTATAGTACCAGAAAGTATCCATTGTTACCACACAATTTCTCTTTATGGAGTGGCTGTGCAACCTGTGTTCAGGACACCTATTCATGTGCACTAAACAACCTTATGTTCTGCACATGTTACTTTACGAAAAAATTAATGGATTGAGTGCAGCCCATGCAAAAAAACTGATATCTCTAATTTAAACAGACTGATTTTTATGGGAATGTTTTTATTATACTAATTAGATTTCTGCAGGGAATTGTAAATTACTAACATTTAACATTTTTGTAGGGGTTGATACATATTTTTTCAGGGCAAATCAAGTCTGACATTTTAAAGTGGAAATTACAAACTTTATAAGCCTTTGTAAACCTTCAATAGACTACAGGTTTCCTACATCAACAGGGTGATCAAATTAAGATCATGCACCTGTAGGGAATTACAGACAGCATAAAACCAACAAAGATTTACTCAAATTATGTCTTAAAATAGATTCAACATAGGATAGCGATACACGGCACATAGGCTGCCGGTAGATTAATTCCAGCCCTGTGAGTTCTAAATAAAATTAAACCAGTTGAAATCGCACTTTAATAGTAATAAACAACAGAATTGCATTTGGGTATACGTATACACTGTACAGGCTTATCTGTGGATTATGCACCCATGAAACGGACTATCAGCCTACTCAGTGACACCCACAGAACACAACTCTGTAGAGTTTACACAAATATTAGCTTAATAGCTCTTATTGTGGGACTTTGACTGTGGCAAATCCCCTCCCCACTTAGTCTATTATGTGTGTTGAATATTCATGGGAAGGTGATAGTCAATGCCACTCCGACATTGCTCGTCCTAATATTTATATATTTCTTAATTCCATTCTTTTACTTTTAGATTTGTGTGTATTGTTGTGAATTGTTAGATACTAGTGCACTGTTGGAGCTAGGAACACAAGCATTTCGGTACACCCGCAATAACATCTGCTAAATATGTGTATGTGTAGAACAAGAAGGCCCGCACACTGTTAAAGCTCACAATTCACCGCTTTATTGACAACGTTTCGATCCGAAAAGGATCTTCGTGAGGTCGAACAAACTGAGTGCTCACATCCCAAAATATACACATTTCACCTCACATGACCATTGCGGACATGACGCACGGTGGGTGCAAAAAACATGTGTTTATCTCTAATAATTTAATAATTTAATAACAATGAGATGGGTACATGTAGTGGTTCCAGAAAATAATATATATTTACAAAATGACCAAGTGGGTAACCTGGAAGGCAAGACAAATCAAAGTAAAGTGACATATTCATGTAAGAAATGGTCTGATATCATGGTGATATGATATGGTGATCTGATATCTTGGTTCAGACCTCTAGGAGACATGGTACACAAACGGTGAATCCAATACAATTATCTTCTCAATAATAGATTATCAATATCTCCGCCTCTCCTAGGAGTCTTAACATGTTCGATGCCAATGTATCTCAACGAGCTAATGTTGGACGAGCCTCCATGAAATGCGCAGCCACAGGGTTTCTCTGGTCAATTGTCCTGAGACCCATGGGGCGGCGCACAATTGGCCCAGCGTCGTCTAGGTTAGGGGAGGGAATGGCCGGCAGGGATGTAGCTCAGTTGGTAGAGCATGGCGTTTGCAACGCCAGGGTTGTGGGTTCGATTCCCACGGGGGGTATGAAAAAAATAAATATGTATGCACTCACTAACTGTAAGTCGCTCTGGATAAGAGCGTCTGCTAAATGACTTAAATGTAATGTTAATCCTGTGTTCTGCTAACCTTGTTTTCAGAGCTCGTTTTGTTTTTCCTACATAGCATAGACCACAAATACACTTGATCAGGTATATCACATTTTTTGTGGAACATGTAATGATGCTCTTAATCTTAATGGCCTTTCCCGTAATAGGGTGATTGAACATTGTACATTTGTTTGTGAAGTTACACTTGGTACATCGCCACATCTATAGTTACCGTCCGGAACATTGTCTAGAAAGGTACTGCGTGGCACTGGTGGAAGATCAGACCTCACCACCATTTGACTGATGTTGGGGGCGCGTCTGAAGACTAGCCGCGGGGGTTCTTCAAACGTATTTTGTAGTTGTGGATCAGTGCTCAAGATGTACCAGTGTTTTTTTTTAATGATGTGGTCGAACTGTTTACCAAGTGGGGAGTACTGAAGGAAGCATTGAACGCCGCGTTGGTCAGGAGGGCTGGGAGGTTTGGACTTGAGGCTGTCATCATGGGTCATATTTTTATAACGTTCCCTTGCGTCATGCAGCCATTCCTCTGGGTAACCCCGCTGTCTGAAACGCTCATCCAGATGGTCGGCTTGTTTGTCATAGTCACTGTGTACTACAAATCCTGCGTATGCGACTGTATTGGCTACTGGGGAGGCTCTTTTTTAGGGGTATAGGGTGGAAGCTGTCTCCGCGTAACAGGGAATTCCTGTCCGTCGGCTTCCTGTATAGATCCGTACTAAAACCACCCCCATCCCTCTCAATCAAAATGTCAAGGAAACGTATTTCATGCGCATCAAAGGTGAGGGTGAATTTCAAATGTTCACTGCTTGTATTGATGAAGGAGTGGAATCGATGTCTAATATGGCGCAATAATGGATTATTAGGGTTGAAAATCACATTATACTAAAAAAAATAAGATTGGCATAATTCGGTGCCATTTTACTGCCCATAGCAGTTCCCTTCTGTTGAATGAACATGTCATTTTCAAACATGAAAAAGTTATTAGTCAGAACAATCTCAGCAAGTTCAACGATACAGTTAGTGCTAGGGAGTGTGTCAATGGGTCGTTGACTGAGGTAGTGTGCAATGGCTTCTAGGCCTCCCTGATGGGGGATTTAAGTATACAGTGATTCAACATCAAAGCAAGCCATAAACGTCTCCCATTGATATTGTGCATTGTCTTAAAAGTGTTAATCATGTCCATTGAATCGCGTACTTTCATGAACTCATATTATTTTTGCATGATGTCTCCACTTTCCACAAGAGACTTCAGCTTGCAGTGAATTTCATCTTTGAAGAGTGGTGTGGGATCACGTGACAATTTCTGATAGAAAGTGGTGTTGTTCATTCACATAGTCATCACGGTTTAACAACACCACAGTTCCGCCCTTGTCAGCATTACACACTATCAAAGTGGAATAATTTTTTTAAACATCCAATGCTTGCCTCTGTTCTTTAGGGATATTATTGTAGACTCTGTATTCTCGTTTCTTATTCAAAATCTGAGACACATCTTTTTCCGCCAATCTGCAGTATGTTTATAGGGAGGGATTTCTGTATCTGGGCGGACAAAAAGTGGATTTGGCTCGAAAAGGGGTATTCGTTCTGTGGGAAATGTAATTCTCTATTGTGTAACCCATAGTCTGAACACTCGTCTCACCCATACTTGACACATCCACATTTGGAGTCTTATCATTTATGGGACAAAATAACTCCCTAAGTCTCAATGTATGAAAGAATTTCGGAAACTCTATTGTGGTGTCAAAGTCATTACATGATGCAATAGGGACGAAAGAAAAGCCCTTACTCAAGGTCAACTCACATGAGGTGGTGATGGGACGTGAAGAAAGGTTAATCACACTCAGGCATTCTGACTGCGTGTCCAATAGCGGCCTTGTTCCTCTGTGTATGTGACCAATAACATATGATTTGGTTTGATTTCCCACAGTCAAAGTCCTGCAATAAGAGCTATGACGCTAATATTTGTGTAAACTCTACAGAGTTGTCTTCTGTGGGTGTCACTGAGTAGGTTGATACCCCCATTTCATGGGTGCACAATTCATAGGTTAGGTTGTACAGTGAATTATAAATGTTCAATACGCACAATAGACTAAGCGGGGATGTGATTTTCCACAGTTAAAGTCCCACATTAAGAGCTGTGACGCTAATATTTTTGTAAACTTTACAGAGTTGAGTTCCGTTGGTGTCACTGAGTAATTGATTTTTTACAATTAACTAATAATTGTATTTTGTTAAATGTATATAACAACATTTCAACCTTGTTTAGCATTATCTAGCCCAATTGTGGCATGATTCCACTATTTATATCTGTTTGTATCAGTTTCAATGGAGGACTTTTATTTTGAAGGCAAACCACCGAGTCCACTATTGTTGCTCAAGCTAATGTTGTTCACGACACACAGGTCGATGCACCTGCCTTCTTATTAAATACTAGGTGAATACCAGAGAAAACATACTGTAAAATAGCTGAAGTGAAATTATATCCAAGGTTTCATTAATTGAATTGATGAATTCAAAGTCAATTCATGTTCCAAATGACCTGGAGTTGAAATACATATGAGTCTAACTTTAGAGGTGATCAGCTCTGTGACAAACAGGAAATTGTGCTTTTCCTGACAGCTGCATGCTTCTTTCTCTCTCTCTCTCTTTCCCTCCCTCTCTTTCTCTCTCTCTCTGCTTCAGTGACTCTTTAACCACATCTTGTTTGTTATCATTGTCATAATGTGGCTAACAAAATGTTTTCATTTCAGCATTTGCTAAGGTGGTGTTTCCTTTTTTGTGTTTGTGCATGTTGAAAACGTTGTGTGTCATCATTCCAGCTTACACTTCTTATTTTCTGCTTTCGTTTGGCCTCCCCCCAAAATTATATAAATGGTGGGGCTTCATCTTCCTTAAGTACTGCTTCTAATTACAATAGTATGGAAATATTTAGATACTACTATTGCTCTAATTCGCTTTGCACAATCAACTTGCACAAGCAATTGTTGATATACCAGTAATGATATACCAATGGCATAACAATCAAATTGTCATTAACAAATGTGATTAATGTAAGAGCAGCACACTGGACATAAACTGTAGCCTACTTTTGTATTTATTTGTATGATTGTATTCATTGCATGTGCACAAAATTCAATTTCATCACAATACATTTAGTTGTAATGTAGTAAATCGTTTATTTTCCCACCTTTTTTTCCATCCCCACCCCATTTTTCTTTATTTGACGCATGCAGGGCTTGGAGATTGAGCATTGTGGGGGTTTGTATGAGGACATCTCAGTGTATGCCCAGCCTGGGCCAGCAGAGGGTGCTGCAGCTTGGAAGCAGGAGTGAGCTGCATGGGGGCTGAGCTGGGGACTGAGCTGGGGACTGAGCTCTCCTGTCATCCACTGCATCTCAATGCATATCTGGGCCCGTATTCATTAAGCGTCTCAGAATAGGATTGCTGATCTATGATCAGTTTTGCCTCATAGATTAACATGAATAGACAAGGGGGACCTGATCCAAGATCAGCACCCGTACTCTGAGATGCTTTATGAATACGTGTCTGGACTCATAGGCTAATGTCTCATCCATGGTGTTTCAGGATGTATGTTATGTTTAGTGATTTGTTCAGATGACCACTATTTCTTTATGTTATAGATCCATCCATATGGGTAATGTCATTTTAGAATACATTTTTGCATGTTCTTTTTGATATGTTCTATATAAGATACACGTAGAGGAACAGATTGTTGATTCATGTTCCAAATAGCATATTTGTCTCTCTTTTCAACTATCTCAAATGTGTTTGTTTTCTTTTCAGTTGTGTTTGATTTGGTGTTTTTATAAAGGAGTTTTGAGTTGGTGCTACTATTTTGATTGTTATATGATAGGATGAATGCGACAAAGTTAGTTATTGTAATGCTTGTCTAATGGGGCTTGTCCATAGAAAGGCTCTCTCTTTTCAGCTTCTCCTGTTTCAGTTGTAAATACTCAACCTGACCACACCCCTTCAAATTGTATCAATGTGGGGGTTTTGTTAAGTGGACATGTGGCTTGGATAAATATGTAGGCTATCCTTTGCTGATTGCTAATAATGTTATAATTTTGCCTGTTCTATGATATGGCAGCATTGTAAAGTGGACTTTGCCTTTACTTTTTTTCTTGTCTTTTGACATTTGTTTCCAGAGAAAGTTGTTTTGTCTAGATCTGTCATTTTTGCCAAAACATCACAATGCCCCAAAGTACAATTGTTTAGGAATATTAAAACTATTACTATACCATGAAATTATTAAACAGTAATTGCCAAATCCATATGTAGTCAAAAATGCATTTAATGAAGTAGCAGGTAAAAGCATACATCTATAGCAATTTAGTGTATAAAAATGTCCATTGCATAGAAACATCTAGTCAATTACAAATGTATCCAGCAATCATCCCAAAAGAATAAATACAAGTTAATAAATACCCCCATAAATAAATAAATAGATTTTAAAACAGATTTAAAAAAAACATATTTCCATGTGGAATCAATAAATATAAATAAATAAAAAAAACTGGCGAAATACATGATGTCACTCATATGAGACGATAAATTGTGAACATAATTATTACGTTGCTCTGAGTTTAGGTGCTGTTTTCTGTAGCTGAACCCAGAAGAACCAGCCTCCTCAGATGTCTCCTGGCCTCTTTCCTGACCAGCTCCCATGCATGAGCACTGTATGCCTGCAGATTGATGACAAAATCACAAACATATTAGCAGTTGAATATCAGAATACCCTCATCATACAGAAGGCAACATTGCCTTTAAATTTCTATCGCACTGTAGTGCAGCTCTTCAGTATTAAGGCTTGAATTGAGCCCTAAATTAGACAAGTACATGTTACTGCAGTGTAGGTAGGTACACATTGTTAAATCTGTTTGCACCATGAACAGTTTCAAGTATTTACGAAATACATTGGGATAAACTGAGTGAACTAAAACAACAATTATTGGATGAGCGGAGGTTTAGCCAAAATGAATCATGTATTTATTTTTGTATTTACAAATACAATGTACTTACACTGTACTTGCCAGTGTAACTACCATTTTCAATGTATGTATATTGTTATGGACACATATGTAGAAGATTATTGTAAAATGGGATCCAATGGCTCACTGTGGCCATGATGATTCATCTCGTTATGGCCATATATGAAATATTATTTCAATAAAAACTCACCATTCTTTTAAGGACGTGGTTGTTCAGCCTCTTGAAGTACATATGCAGATTCTTGCTCTTTTTTTTCTGGGCCGTAACCTGGATTGATGATAAAAGCATGACTGAATGTTGATATCGCCTATGACTTATTTTCAATGCTTTGTGTTTCCCTACAAATAGATTACCAATTTAAATAAACGGCCCATTAAAGTATAACACAAGTGTGAGTAGTTTAAATAATTTTAGGGAAAAAATGTGCACTATAGTTACAGTCTGTTTGTGGAATAAAAGTAATGTTCTCAATCTGAATATTGCATTGTGGTCCTCTGTAGCTCAGCTGGTAGAGCACGGCGCTTGTAACGCCAAGGTAGTGGGTTCGATCCCCGGGACCACCCATACACAAAAATGTATGCACGCACGACTGTAAGTCGCTTTGGATAAAAGCGTCTGCTAAATGGCATATTATTATTATATTCCACCAACTCTCTGAGACTCAGTCCATTCATTCAAATTAACAAGTGCTCATATTAAAATATCTAGCCTGCATGGTCCTAGATCTGTTTTGACAACTTGGTCGTTGTCAATGTCAAACTGAGTTGGCAAGACAGCACAAACAGATTTGGGACTCGGCTAGAGAATGTCTATTCCAGCTATAGAATATTATGATGTTATACTTACACATGACTGAAGGCCATCAGCCTGACTGGTGAGAACATTGAGGAAGATCTCCACTTTCTTCTCATCCCAGACAGAGTCATGTTCTCCATCGAACAGTTCAGCGATCTCGTCAATGGTTTGGAGGATGAACCACATTTTATCTTCAGTCTGTAAAAGGAAAGACATGAGGAAATTACTTTAACCTGATCCTTACTAAATTAATTAATATTTGCCAATCAAAATAGTTAATGATAGACATACAATAATGTTGGGGTGTTCATTATTTGGTGAATGTCAGTACAATGCTAATGCATACATCCTCTGTGCACCTGTAAATCCCATGCTAAAGGTTGACTATCTCACAAGACTGCCTAACTTACTGGTGAATATTCAGCTTGCTTGTACAGGTCCTCTGGGAAGGGTGTGCCCACACTGTCTGTAGTAAACTCCCCACCCTATGTTTAAGAGAGAAATAACCCCCATTATACATACAAATTCAATTTATGCATTCAATAATTAATGTACAATATTCAAAATCATAGAATTGAACTTCAATTTCTGTTGGCACAATCCAAATATACCAATGGTTTAGAATAACGAAAACATAAGAATCTACTCACCATAATATTGAGTAAGTTCAGTAAGGTCTCACTGTGTTGTATGAATTTGTGATCATCCATCCATCTACAGCCCATCGAGAAACCATTGCACAGGGTTAGAAACAGACAAATAAGGAAAGACTTCGTAGGCCTATGCATTTTGGTAATGAAAACGAGACGTGGAGCAAAAAAAGTATCTCTTTGTAATACAATATAGGCTTAGCTATGTCAAATGTAGCTGTCTTGTTACTACTGTTTAGGTATACCATCTTACCTGTAGGAATACGACCTTTATAGTTTCTCAAAACGAATAGGGTGAGGCCAATAGCCTATTTCACTTTCCGTACCTGAGAGCGGTTGGAAAACAATGAAGTACACAGCACATATTTACCACAACATTTGTATTAGTTTATGGTGTTTGGAAAGTCCATATATTTATCGTAGCAATATTCACACACATCGAATAGGCTACTGTAAATGTCATACCAAGCCAGCTTTGAAAGGACGCGATGACGCATCTAAACATGTTTGAGGCACTTTTTCCGATTTGCATGGCTTGAGCTGAGGCTATAAATTGCAATTGTTTGCAATTTTCTGTAGGCTTCGTTTACATGTAATTTTTTCGGCATTTTCTGTAAATATTAACGTAGCCTATTCAATATGATTTTATCCAGCCTATTTGTTTTATTTCATTCAGTAGCCATCGAAATTGGGCTACCTTAATGATTGCCATTTATATTAAGCCCACAATGTTATTAATTTAAAAAAACGTATGCCTATGTTTTTTAAAACTTAATACAACAAGGTGAGCCGAGCCTCAGGCTAATGTGTGACATCATGAATATCATCTGAAGCGCATCGAAAATGCATGACAACAGCACTGATGATGAAATGTTACTGTAGTTTTACTGTAGGCTACACGTGGACCTTGCATCGAACATATGTTTGCTGACGTTGTAATAACATGATAAGAGAGAAAGAGAGAGAGAGCCCTGATAATGAAATACTATGTAGCCTGCGGACTTTCGACACAGTGACGAGTGGGAGTAGCCTAAAATGAAACGAAACCCCAGCGCTTCACCGCGGGATTAAGAAGAAATACGTCATATTTTTGCATTGTTGTCTTAATATTACATCAAGGTGACTGACTACTACCCTATTATTAAACTGGAAATACATTTGGTTAATGAAAGAGGGCTACAATGTGTTTCTTTGGGATCATCTCTGGGCCTACTGAAAATGAGAAATTCCTGTTTTTATAACCTTTAAGAAATAGGGCTACATAATAGGCAGGCTGAAAATGGTGCAGTGTGAGAGACTATCTGGACATTGTTACTGGGAGGTTGAGTGGAGTGGGAAGGGTTCTTCCATCAGTCTCAAGACATTAGCAGGTCAAGTAAAGACTCTGGATTGTGAAACAATGACAAGCGAGAGTTTAGAGGGCACTAAGCAGAGTTACTGGTTCAGACACAGCAATGTAAAGACCATCAGTCCTCCAGAAAAGGGGTGTATCTGGACCACAAGTAAAGAACTCTGTCCTTCTACATTGACGTTTACATTTTAGTTTCAGAGGGAAGATGGTTCCACCATTCGGGTGCCAGGACAGAGAAGAGCTTGGACTGGACTGAGCGGGAGGGCCAAGAGGCCTGAGGTGGCAGAACAGAGTGCTCGGGTTGGGTTGTAGGGTTTGATCATAGCCTGAAGGTAAGGAAGGGCAGTTCCTCTTGCTGTTCCGTAGGTAAGCACCGTCTACAGTGTTTCTGACACAATGACCCTCCTCTAACATTATATATATACAATGAGGGAAAAAAGTATTTGATCCCCTGCTGATTTTGTACGTTTGCCCACTGACAAAGAAATGATCAGTCTATAATTGTAATGGTAGGTTTATTTGAACAGTGAGAGACAGAATAAAAACAGCAAAAATCCAGAAAAACGCATGTCAAAAATGTTATAAATTGATTTGCATTATAATGAGGGAAATAAGTATTTGACCCCCTCTCAATCAGAAAGATTTCTGGCTCCCAGGTGTCTTTTATACAGGTAACGAGCTGAGATTAGGAGCACACTCTTAAAGGGAGTGCTCCTAATCTCAGTTTGTTACCTGTATAAAAGACACCTGTCCACAGAAGCAATCAGATTCCAAACTCTCCACCATGGCCAAGACCAAAGAGCTCTCCAAGGATGTCAGGAACAAGATTGTAGACCTCCACAAGGCTGGAATGGGCTACAAGACCATCGCCAAGCAGCTTGGTGAGAAGGTGACAACAGTTGGTGCGATTATTCGCAAATGGAAGAAACACAAAATAACTGGGCCTGGGGCTCCATGCAAGATATCACCTCGTGGAGTTGCCATGATCATGAGAATGGTGAGGTATCAGCCCAGAACTACACGGGAGGATCTTGTCAATGATCTCAAGGCAGCTGGGACCATAGTCACCAAGAAAACAATTGGTAACACACTACGCCGTGAAGGACTGAAATCCTGCAGCGCCCGCAAGGTCCCCCTGCTCAAGAAAGCACATATACAGGCCCGTCTGAAGTTTGCCAATGAACATCTGAATGATTCAGAGGAGAACTGGGTGAAAGTATTGTGGTCAGATGAGACCAAAATCGAGCTCTTTGGCATCAACTCAACTCGCCGTGTTTGGAGGAGGAGGAATGCTGCCTATGACCCCAAAAACACCATCCCCACCGTCAAACATGGAGGTGGAAACATTATGCTTTGGGGGTGTTTTTCTGCTAAGGGGACAGGACAACTTCACCGCATCAAAGGGACGATGGATGGGGCCATGTGCCGTCAAATCTTGGGTGAGAACCTCCTTCCCTCAGCCAGGGCATTGAAAATGGGTCGTGGATGGGTATTCCAGCATGACAATGACCCAAAACACACGGCCAAGGCAACAAAGGAGTGGCTCAAGAAGAAGCACATTAAGGTCCTGGAGTGGCCTAGCAAGTCTCCAGACCTTAATCCCATATAAAATCTGTGGAGGGAGCTGAAGGTTCGAGTTGCCAAACATCAGCCTCGAAACCTTAATGACTTGGAGAAGATCTGCAAAGAGGAGTGGAACAAAATCCCTCGTGAGATGTGTGCAAACCTTTTGGCCAACTACAAGAAACGTCTGACCTCTGTGATTGCCAACAAGGGTTTTTCCACCAAGTACTAAGTCATGTTTTGCAGAGGGGTCAAATACTTATTTCCCCCATTAAAATGCAAATCAATTTATAACATTTTTGACATGCATTTTTCTGGATTTTGTTGTTGTTATTCTGTCTCTCACTGTTCAAATAAACCTACCATTAAAATTATAGACTGATCATGTCTTTGTCAGTGGGCAAATGTACAAAATCAGCAGGGGATCAAATACTTTTTTCCCTCACTGTATATATATATATATATATATATATATACAAGGCGGTGGCTCCATCTGCTGGACGTGCCAGGTCTCAACGGGCTCCCCGGACAGGACTAATTGGGGCTGATTGGGAGCTGGTGAGTAATTAAGGGCGGATTGCTCACCAGCTGTGCAAGGCCCATAAAGCTGCCAGAAGGGCAGCACATGGGGAGGACTGAGGGAAGTAAGGTAACGTCTGTGTAGTTGGAGACGGTATCATGGAGAGGGTCTCATGGGGGAGACCTAACCTTTTTTTTTGATTATTTTATTAATAAACCCCATTGAAACCGAGCTACGCATACTCTATCCATGTTTGATCTGTGTAAACGTCTTGACCCAAACCCCTGATCTGCCACTATATATATATATATATATATATATATATATATATATATTTATAGCCTATATATTTATATATATTTAACTGCAATATGATATCTAAATAGATTTGATTATTTATTTATAATATGAATCTCAGATGATTGCCTCTTGAGCTCTCTCAGTAAATTCTATAATCGGAGGTCCCCAAATCCTTTGATAATCTCTCTCTGGCTAGAGAGTCCTCGTCTCAGATTACTCATTTTAATGAATGCATTTTAATAAATTAATAAATAATGAACATTAAAGAAATCGAAAGAAACCTTTAGAAAAAATGTCATTGTGATTTAGATTTTTTATGAATAATCTATGCCAATACAATACATTATGATCAGCCTACAGTATGTGCATTAACGAGCTGTGGCACTGACTGGAGAGACGAACGGAAGAACAGAAAGGTTTCATTCCCCCATTTTGTGTTCCACACCACAGCTCATAGTCATACACTAGATGGCGATGAGTGACAGCTCTTGGCTTGCCCCGTTGCCCTCTTATCTCTGTTGTCAAGTTTCAGTAGATTGACGACGTGATTCATGATGATGACTACTTTTCTAGCTTGCTAGCTAAGATTTTGAAAGTAACATGATCAGTCCAATCAAAGCTACGGTAGATATAATGTGATTTGACATCATTTTATCTGTGGCCAATGACCTTGAGCCTTCTTGGATGGGCACTTCTAATGTAAATCTATGTCAGCACCCAAGAGGACTCAAACTGCCTAGCTCTCCCTGTAGATTCTGCGGTCACGTAGTGTCCCCATGAGTGACGGAACACTGAGCCAATCACTGCGCAACTAAAGAAGATTACCAACGCCTACGCTCTCTATATTCCGAAACCACTAGACTGAAACATTTTGGAGCTGCCTTACTCAAGAAAGAGACCATGTTTGCAAACTGATATGTGACATGAATTAATGACAAAATAACATGCAAAACAGGCACACAAAAAAAATATATATATACAGTACCAGTCAAAAGTTTGGACACACCTACTCATTCAAGGGTTTGTCTTTATTTTTTACTATTTTCTACATTGTAGAATAATAGTGAAGACATCAACACTATGAAATAACACAAATGGAATCATGTTGTAACCCAAAAAGTGTTAAACAAATCAAAATATACTTTATATTTGAGATTCTTCAAAGTAGCCACCCTTTGCCTTGATGACAGCTTTGCACACTCTTGGCATTCTCTCAACCAGCTTCATGAGGTAGTCACCTGGAATGCATTTCAATTAACAGCTGTGCCTTGTTAAAAGTTCATTTGTGGAATTTCTTTCCTCTTAATGCGTTTGAGCCAATCAGTTGTGTAGTGACAAGGTAGGGGTGGTATACAGAAGATAGCCCTATTTGGTAAAAGACCAAGTCCATATTATGGCAAGAAC